TTTTCTAACTTTATTTGCAGTATTGGAGCGATAGCTGGAACGATAGCACAATGGGTAGGGCATTTGCCTTGCATGTGGCAGACCTGGGTTCGATTCCTCCATCCTTCTCGGAGAGCCTGTCAGAGAGTATCCCAGCCGCACGGCAGAGCCTGGCAAGCTCCCCGTGTCGTAATAGATATGCCCAAAACAATAACAACAAGTCCCACAGTGGAGACGTTACTGGTGCCTGATTGAGCAAATCGAAGAACAACAGGACAGTGCTACGGTGCTATTTACAGTACAAAGGAGAAGGGAAAGGAGGGGTTGGGAAAACAGGGTTCTGGCATTGTGGCCTACTTGCAGAGCACCTGTCTTACAGGCTTGAAGCAATGAGTTTGATTAACCAATTTCACTAAAAAGTTACATGCTACTTTTAGTAATTGATTTACGAAAGCAGTGTTCAATCATACAATATAATGTAACCATTTAGCTGTGTGTTTCTAAAACTGTATGATCCAACAAGTAATTCCTCTAGTCCAACCCTTAGACTCTTGCTCACCTTATATATTTAACCAAATATAAAAAAATCACCCAACTTTTGGAAATGTTAAAAATTAACTTATAAGATAATGAGTTTTAAAATAAATTTGTTCCTTAGTTCACCTGACTAAACTTAAAATATATTCCATGAGGGACTTGAAGAAGTGCATTTGTGGATTGAATAATATAAAATGAACTGACTTCAAAACCTATACTTGAGAAATTAAATATATAACTTCCTTTGTATGTATAATTTTATACATCTTAGCAAGTGAAATAACCTCCCTGATTCTCCACTGTCTTAACTTCTGGCTTCTTTCTTTCATATGTCTTTATTCTGCATATTAAACGTTTTGTTCTCTCCCAGAAGGGAGCATAACATGATGCTTGCCATAACCATGTTGCTGGTCCCAGTGCCAGGCTGTTTCACTCAGGGTGCTCCAGCGGAAAGCGGGTTGAGAGCCCTCCCTGCCCCAAGGGACCCAGCCCCCGCAGCCAAAAATCTCCAGAGCTCAACCACCACCACACCCACAGCCACTCTCCACATGCTCAGGCCGAGCCTCACCCATGAGCGAACCTATTCACGTGGCTGCATTTGTGGCCATGCAACACTTCATACCACATAATCTACCCACACTTCAAGAGTACCACATCACATTTGATGGTGTGATATATATATATACATATATACATATGTATATATATATATCACTTGACATCCCGTTACTCATCGATTTGCTCAAGCGGGCACCAGTAATGTTTCCATTTGTCCCTGTCGCGTGTTAGTGTAGCCCAATGGCATCTGTTTGATCTAGGAACACAAAGTGCCTCAAACCAATCGTTCAAGGTCTTGAAGAAGAAGTCTGACCATCTCGTAGGTGGGTGGTCATGCGATCTTTTGATGTCCTGTGGAATCCAGTTGGTAATGGCTCTAGTCCGCAGTCGTCTCCAAATCTCATTATGTGTCCAGCCTATCTGATTTTCGACACCTTGGCAAACGAGACGGCATCCCTGATTCTTGACTGTTGATGGAGGTCAGAACTCCAGATTCTTTCTCTCACTTGAGTGAAGCGTGATAATCCAAGCATAGTTCTTTCAATTTCTCTTTGGGAGACCTGAATAGCGTTCTCATCCTGTTTTCGTAGGGCCCAGGTCTCTGAGGCATATGTTAACACAGGAAGAACAGTGGAATTGAAGAGGTGTGCCTGGAGCCAGAGGTTCTTCGTCCTCTTAGCTATTTCTTCGGCGCTCTTGAAGGCATTCCAACCCGCTCTCTTCCTCCTGTGCAGTTCAGGTGCCAGGTCATTCGTCATGTTGAATTCTCAACCTAGGTACATATAACTGTTGCATTTGGAGATGTTCGTTCCATTGAGAACAAATGGAACATCAGGAACAAGACTGTTTCTTATAAACATTGTCTTCATGAGAGTCAGCTGTCATCCAACCTTTTCACACTCATGGTCGAAGTCGGCCAGCATTTGTGCCACTTGGCTAATGTTTGATGTTATTAGAACGATGTCATCAACAAAGTGGAGGTGATATAGTTGCTGACCGTCTATGTTCACTCCCATTTCTTCCCATTCCAGTCATCACATGACGTTCTTGAGGGTGACACTGAAGAGTTTTGGTGAAATGGTGTCACCCTGCCGAACCCCTCTCTTGACATGAATGATCACTTCTTTGTAGAATGGTGAGGTCCTGGTAGTGAATCCATAATACAGATCCTCCTCACGGAGATCCTGATGTATTGAGTTTGAATGCCCTGTTTGGCTAGGGCTTTGACGACCCCTTCAGTCTCAACAGAATCAAAGGCCTTTTTTAAATCAATGAACATTAGACAGAGTGGCATCTTGAACGCCTGAGAAACCTCAATGATCTTGGTTATCATGTGGATATGGTCGATTGTGCTGAATCCTTTTCGGAACCTGGCTTGCTCGCATGGTTGTCCTTCATCTAGTGTTCTGCCAATCCTATTCAGGATGACTCGAGTGAACAGCTTGTAGACGACAGACAATAGGCAGGTCGGGCAATAGTGGCTAATAATGTCGTAGATGTCTCCCTTCTTGTACAGTAGAATGGTCCTGCTGGTTTTCCATTGGGACGGAACCTTGCATTTAGACAGGTAGCATATGAAGAGCCGAGCCTGTGTATTGATGAGTACTGACAGCAGATTCTTCAGGTGTTCAGGTCTGACCTTGTCTGGGTCAAGTGCTGTTCGCTTCTTTACCGATGAAATGGCGTGTCAGATTTCGGAAGGGAGAACATTGGGAACAACATAGCCATCCTGTGGAATTTGGTATGTGGGCAGGTGAACGTGGCTATCGAAGAGATCCAAGTAGAAGTCATGGATAATCTTCTCCATTGCCCTTCTGGAAGATGTGATAGATCCATTAGGACATCAGAGGGCAGTCATCTTGGTCTTGTAGTTGCCGAAGAACAGGTGGGTGTTACGAATGCTTTTCCCAGCTTCTGCCGCATCTGCCAGCACTGCTGCTCTTCTCTCTTTATGGTCTTCCTTTATTGCTTCTCTGCACTGCTTTGCGAGCTTGGATGTTCGCTTGCAGTTGCCTGAGTCTTGTGCCAAGCCACGTAGGCGAATAAGTTTAAGAGTTTTTAAAGACAGGCTTTTTTGGTGTGTGTGGCTATCTCTCTCTTGGCGTTCTTCGCACGTGGAGGTGCTGAACCAGTCGATCATATTCTTTGTCAATGTTTTCAACGATGGCATCTTCCCATATTGCCACAATAGTGCCAAAGAGCTCCCAGTTGTGGTCATTCTCTTCTTAAACTTTGCAGCCCTTTTTCCCTGCTCTTGAAGTAGAATTTTGCACAAAGGAGACGGTGGTCCAATCCTGTTTGGAATTTTGGGACAACAGTGACATCAATCAGGCAAAACTGTCAATTGAATATGATGTGGTCAATTTCATTGTGGAACCGTCCACCAGGAGACTCCCATGTCCAACGTTTAGATTCAGCCTTCTGGAACTGTGAGTTACCATGGATGGTCTTGGTCGACATGATGAACTCAGACAGTCTCTCACCCTATTCGTTCCATTCTAGGCCATGGGTCCCAATGTAGAGTTCTTCGGCTGATCTTCTCAGTCCTATCTTGGCATTAAAATCACCAACAATGATCTTGTAGAAAGTGTGGTCTTCTTTATAGAACGTCTCAGTTCCATATAAAACTTCTCAATTTCTCCTTCATCATAATTGGATGTTGGTGCATAGACAACGAAGATAGAAACTGCCAGCAGTGAGTCACATCTATTCAAGTGTAATCGTCCAATTCGGGTTGTTAGACAATGAATGAATCAATGCTCATTGCCAAGTTCATGTTGACAAGGACACTGACACCTCCGACGCCTCTTTTGTCGCATGTTCCAAGGAACAGTTCTTCTCCAGTGTCGAAAACTGCATGATGTGTTTGATGCCTTCTGGTCTCGGTCAGACCAATGATGTTGTACTTGATCTTTCACGCTTGTACCATCAGGTCCTCAGTGGTTGCATCCGATGCCAACATACATGCATTGAAAATACAGACAGTCATTTTTGTCTTTCTTCTTTTTAGCAGCCTAGTTCAGCCTTGAGATTTTATCAGCCTCTCTTCCTCATCCTTCTTAACGCTGCTGTATTGGTGGCTCTTTCAGGGTCGGGGAATAAGACCCATTGTATTTACTGGTTTTGGCATATTGAATACGCCATGGATAGCTTGCTAGGCTCTGCCGTGTGTGCGGGATACTCTCAGTAGCTTTCCAGGCTCTCCGAAGGGAATAGAGGCTTTAAGGGCGGCCTCTAATCGCCCTTGCAGGTGTTCCCATGGTTCAAACCATATTTGAACCCTATCAAATATGATGCGGCAGTCCTGGAAGATGGGTAAAATATGGCCACACACTTCTGGGAGCTTTGTTTTATAGTCTCTGGATCTTTGCCATTGATGGGGTTACATGGCATTAGGGCAGTTTGTGGGTGTGACTGCCAAGCTACTGGAAAATGGGGGATCTGGGTTGAGGAGGCCCAGATCCAAGGTTAAATAGACTTTAAAAATAATCCCATCATATTACAATGTTTCCCCTTTTGCCTATATATAAATTAAATCACATACACTAACACAAACTATTTCAACAATGAAAAAATACCGTGGGGAAGAGGGGAACAATACCGGAGGTTAGGGTGCATGCACCCCCATCCCCAGGCTTGATCCCCAGTATCAGGTGCCTCCCAAATCTCAGTGGCGGCAGACTGGGTGAAGTCACTGCTAGGGTGGTCCTGGTGGGCCCTCAGCACTGCTGGATCTGAGCAGCAGCACATCCTAGGGCCCTAATGTTAAGGGTGGCTGAGTTGGCCACGTATTGCTGGGCGTGGCCCCCAGTCATCCAGAGTACGTCTTGGGAGGCCAAAATAAATAAAACCATTAAAGGTGGGAGTGCGAGGGAGCCCTTGAGGTCTCATCTTGGAGGCGTCTGTGAGCCCACAGCAGAGACACAATGAGCAAAGCTCACCCCCCAGAGCTGAAAAAATTTATGGACAAGAAATTATTGAACTTGAATGGTGGCAGACATGCCCAAGGAATACTTCGAGGCTTTGAACCCTTTATGAATCTTGTGATAAATGAATGCGTGGAGATGGCAACAAGTGGGGAACAGAACAATATTGGAATGGTGGTAATACGAGGAAATAGTATCATCATGTTAGTAGCCTTGGAACGAGTATGAACAGAAGTTGTTTAGAAGTCAAGTGTTTTCATGTGTTCCCATCATTGCATCTTTTTACTAATATAAAATTGGATAGTGTACATTTTCATGGATATTTTTTAAATAAATTTTTGTAATAGTCAAAAAAATAAAACTATTAAAATTGAATTTTCAATAAACCCTGATATGTTGGTTTGGAGTTCTGAAACTATTGTAAATGAATAGGAAAAGTCAAGAACAAAAGATACTTAAAAATTTCTTTTTGAAAAACCCAACATAAGTAGCTAGAGCGAGGGCTGGAGCGATTAGCACAGCGGGTAGGGCGTTTGCCTTACACGCGGCCAACATGGCCGACCCGAGTTCGATTCCTCCGCCCCTCTCGGAGAGCCCGGCAAGCTACCGAGAGTATTCGATATGCCAGACACAGTAACAACAAAGTCTCCAATGGAGACGTTACTGGGCCCGCTCGAGCAAATCGACGATCAACGGGAGGGCCTTTACCTTTTACCTTTTAAGTAGCTAGAGAGATAGCGTACCTGGTAAGGTTCCTGTCTTGCATGCAGCCAACCCGTTTTGATCCTCAAAACCCTATATGGTCCTCCAAGTTCCACAAGGAATGAACTGTGACTGCAGAGCCAGAATAAGTTCTGAGCACATCACAGATATGGCCTCAAAACAACAGTCAATCCAAACAAAAGAGTTTATTTAAAAATTTTGGTTACAGTTCATTTTTTCTCCTTAATTCTTTTCAACCTCCATTTTTATATCTCAGGATTAAAAATTGATACAGATTGTGAAGAATTAAACAACAAAGAAATGTCAAAGGCAGGGCACATTGCCTCATTCTTAGGTATAATAGCTAGGACATTTTGACATCTGGCTTCTTTTTTTTCCTAAATGACATCATGTACAACCACCATCTTCATCTGAGCTTAGAACTTTCAAACACAACATTTGATTGTAAACTTGGTAAAGAGAAACTTATTTCCTTTGGAATATTGGCACACCTTAATATATAGCATGCACCTTATAGAAAAATCATTTTAGCAACCATTACACAGTGATAATGCCATAAATAAAGCTTCAACGTAGAATCTGGAATTCATCAAATGATTCAGTTCAATGAGTCTATCTCAAGATCTCCACCTCTTGTTTACTCCATTTGTATTCTCTTTTTCATAACTGGATTAATGCTTTGAGTCAAAAATATTATATATTCTTATGGATTATATGTTCCTTGGCTGGAAAAACAATGCAATCAAGTTAATTTTGGATAATGCTTTTCACACCAGCTGCTCTGTGGAAGTGGGGAGGGAAGGGAGGGGCACTGGATAATGGAGTTACAATTGGTCATTTTCAATTTTTCATTTTAAACCTGGCCTCAGTGAAGTCTAGTCAATCAGTAGATAAAGGAGATGACTAAGGGGTGGGGAAATGGACACTTCAAAGGGGGCCACAGGTCAAGGAACTTTCTCTCTTTGACCCTATTCTCTGCCCTGATGGAACACATCCTTTGGCCCCTCACTTGGGTTTCTACCATAGCCAGGCAGAAGCAGAAAAAGTCATAGTTCTTACCCCTATTCACATGACTGGAAAACAAAAGAAAGACAAAAAGATAAAGAGCAGCCAACGCCAGCAAGGAGAGGCGACTGCAGAGCATCAGAGACAGACCAGCAGGCCGTTTAGAGCATGGGCAGCGAGGAGCACAGATCCGTGGACAGAGATGACAGCCCAGCAGAGGACCCAAGGACTTCAAGGGACAAAACCAGTGAGAGACCTGCATGGACCGAAGATAACAGACAGAGGATGGTGAGGGACAAAACTAGCATGGGGCCTGGAAATAGAACCTGGGGACACAAACTACCTTCTTAAACCTGTTAAATAGCTATAAGGTAATTATAACTATAATCTGGAGCTTTATATGTTAATCAGGGTTCCACTCAGGAGTCATCTGAAAAGGAAAGGAAACACAAAGATTAGAATTGAGGAAGGCTACATTCAGAGAACATTCAAAAGAAATTGAACCACTTTATTTTACCTTTGGGCTTGGGACCACTTCCAGTGGGGCTCAGAGGCTATTCATGGTTCTATGCTCAAGAGACCATATGCAACCCAGGTCAGCCACCTGCAAGGCAAGCACCTTACCCCCTGTATTATCTCTTCCCCCCGCTTAATCAAAACATTTTGAGATATTGAAGAAGGTTCAAGCTGGATTTACTAAACAGCAACTATTTGATATCTTGACTTGGGGAGCGCAATAAAGCTAAAAGCAACAAACAGTCCAACTTTTCAACAAGTGAATAAAAAAGCACAATATTGGACAAAAATATCCAACATTTACAGGAGTGATTAAAAACCTTAAACAGTTAAGAAAAACCATCATTTTTCAGCTTTAGATTTATTTCTTTGTTTGTTTTGAGACCACACCTAGCAGTGCTCAGGGTTTACTCCTAGCTCTGTGTTCAGGAATCACTCCTAGGCCAGATCAAGGGACCTTATGGTATGCCAAGGATCAAACCTTGCTCAGCTACATGCAAGGCAATTGCCTTACCCTTCTACTATCATTCCAGCCCCTAGATAAATTTTTAAATTACTCCCACAGAGCTGCTGAAACATTTTTTTAAAAATATCTCTTTCAGTTAACTAAGAAAACAGTCCAATGCTATTCTTGTAAAGACTTTCAGCTTATAAATGTCTCATATAAAGGGAAGTACAAAATTATTTGACAAGTTTAAGGAATTTTGCTTCTTATCAATTAGGTTGTCTTAGTGACCTGGAGAAAAAGTATCACCTCCTCACTGGAACAGTTTACTAAAAATATTGCAAGGTAGTCACAAAGATAAAAAAAATATGTATTTCTAAAGACAACTCAGTAATGATGACAATCTAAGAAAACAGATGGAATAAAGCCAATGAGTATAACCATCCCCATTGACGTTTTCTTTCTAATAAAATCCAGAGGAGGAGACAGAGTGATAGAACAGTGGGTAGGGTGTAGTATGTACTTGTACCCAGGGCAAGTAGTGTCTTCAAGTACCAAAACTCAATGAATGTGGGCTTTGAGCCTGATTTCTGTTGCACACATCTTATGCAACCCCGTCAGCCTTTAACATTTGCTTGCCCAATGCTTGTTGGGTTTCCAACTGTGCTTTTGTTATTCTTGCTGGTCTTTGCAGGGAGAGACCTGCTGGTGGTATGACAAAGCTATTTCTTGCATTCTTTCTCCACCAATATATTATAGCCACTCTTATCCTATGTAATGCTCTGCAAGTAAAGAGAGGGGTAAGCACCTCTTCTTCAAAGTCACAAATAGTTAAATCCTTCCTGCACCTTTACTTTAAAAATGATTCAGAGGGTTATTACCTAAGTGAATTTCATCCTTTTCCTCAGAAAAGAATGCAGCCTGAAACATCATTATCATCCTGTACTGAAGATTTATTTTTTCTCTAACACGTGGGGAAAAGTCACTTTGAAAGGCTTCATAAGGCCTGGGAAATGAGATTCTATTGTTTAAACCTTCATGCTAGCTTAGAAACCAAATTTAGAATTTAAGACCTACTTGCTTCTCAGTCTCATTTGTTCCTCCTGCATTTTCTATCTGCTGCTGCTTCCTCACACTGACCTTTCTTCTGTATCTTCTCTGAGCAGCAGGAAAGTTTCTTCCACCTTCTCTCTTCTGCTCTATTCGAGAAATAGGATGGAGTTAGTTCGTTATAAGGTCAGGGACTACTGCTTCCCTGCTTCCACGATTACAGTCTTGGGAGAAAAATACCAGTTATTTAAAGGGGCAAATAGCTAATTTTTAAAGTGTTGAATGGTACATATTGCTGCTCTCTAAATTTGCTTTCCCATGATGATTTGGGGAATTAAAATCTATTTTCTGCACTCCTGTAGGAGTGATGTCCTTTAGTTAAAATGAAATGTCAGGCTACTTGGCTATACACTCTGATCTTGCTTTAGTATCCGTTTCCTGGGAAGTATCACGCACAATCAATCCAATTTAAATGTTTCGGTGTCTAGAGCCTTGAAAAAAAATCAGATAAAAATAAAAGATTTACACAACCCAGGTCTGTAGTCTCCAGGAATAGGAAAAAAATAAAAATAAATAAAACTTATGTTTTTCTACAGAAAAGACTGAAATCACAAACAACTTTGACTTCCAAATAAAATAGTGCTGAATAAAATGTATACTAAATAGAAAAGGAAAAAAAGCAAAACAGATGACTGACAGTTTAAATATCATGTGGTTATAAGTGGAGAAGCTCACTTATTGCAAGGTTCTCAGTAGGTGAGCTGACAAGCCTTCCATAGATTGTAGTCCATTTAAAATGTATGTTATGAACCCTAAAGCAACCTCTAAAATAACGTCAGCAAGTCATAAATGCTAAACCAACAAAAGAGATAAAATAGAATTATTTTAAAATACCTGATTGGAAAAAAAAGAAATTCACCCAATTTGATTGACCCAAAAGGTATGGGAAAAAAAGGTAAAAGGTATCATTCCTAATAAAAGCACAAAAACAACTGAACAGGATACAGGGGCTTTATGGGCAATAAAACGTTTAGAAAGCAGCCTGCCAGCCTGGGCTGGAGAGCAGCTGCAAAGAGGGAGCACGAGGGCTGGGTTTATGCCTAGCAGAGGTACCGGTGCCTTAACAGCAAGTACATATGCTAGGCGTTTTAAAGGAAACCTATAAATATGCATGAGGGAGAATGGGAAGCATGGCAACTGAGGAACGCACAAGGTACAGAAAATGGCAGAGAAACTTCAAGGGGCTGTGTATTCCAATCTGGTCATGAAGAACCAAGGATGCTGGATTCTACTGCACAGTCCCCACGGGCTGGTCGTACTGTCTGCCAGAGGCCGGGGTCCTTATCCCATATGAAAGTGTTATTAAATTTCCACATTGGTCAGATCAGAACCAGTAGAAGGCAATGAGCTGCTTTTTCCCAGGGAGAGGCAGGCAGGCACAGACTCCAAACTACCAGCTCAGACCAGTCTGTTTTAGCGGTTTCTAATC